ACTCGACCTGTCAAACAAGTGGCCCTAGTTTCTGACCTCCCCAACGAAACGACCATTCTGAAACTCCACAACGCAAAAGCGCGAAAACCTCATAAAGCCCTAACACAAATGCACCAAAACGCGTAAAATAGGGTTTCAAGCTTCGGGATCTAAACCCCAAAACCTGAAACCTTAAAGCCTTGGCCCTACACCCAATAAAACCCCTAAACCCTAAACCCCTGAATGAATAAATATGAATCCCTTAAAAGGAACCCTAAACCTTGGAAGCCGGACCTCCTCACAGTGCCCGCTGAGAAGGAAGGCATCGAAAGGCGTTGGCAGGAAGATGTCTGGATCGTAAGACCTTGAGCTCAGGATATGGGGCTTAGGGTTTTAGAGTTTTAGGGCTTGAGGGCTTTATGGCTTTATGGTTTTAGGGTTTAGGGTTTAGGGTTTGGGGTTATAGGGTATAGGGTATCGGCGGTATAGGGTTTAGGGGTTAGCTTTGTAGGGTTTATTAGAGTCAAGGGTTTGTAAGGTTTAGAAGAAGGGTTTTGGAGAAACGGGTGTGCCTGTCAGGTCCTGTGATGAGAATTTACGGTTAAGACGAATACCTGGAGGCAGCCGTATTTGTGACAACCCCTGCGTGGCCAAGGATGAGGCAATCTCGGAACCTTCTTCGCTTGTAGAAGCTTCCCGCGTTAAAGTAGGTGCATGCTCATGCTCTTTCGTGTAGCGGGTTCATGGCTTAGGAGTTAGGGTGCATGTCCATGCTCTTTCATTGCGTCGGTATCTACAGTCGACGTGACATGATTTCTCACACTACCACTGCGAATCCTGCTTGAGATTGTGCCTCATGATGAAACTATGTGAAACTGATCCTTTCCAGGGTCGTTCTGTTGCCGTGAGTAGCTGTCGTGACTGATATTCGCAAAGCATTCGCAGCCACCCGCGAAATCCAAGTCGTTGGCAACCAGGGCCGCGCAGCACTGGTTTGCAAGCAGCGGCTTGCTACATCTCCTGGGCACTGGAGGGTATACTTGCAAGTCCCTCGAATACATGATGCAAATGGGAGTTTCCGAAAATTAGGGCTACCATATTTGGGGGGTCCTTATAATAAGGATCCTATTATATAGGATCCTGTATGGGAGTTTCCGAGAATAGGGGACCCTAATATGGTACCCTAAATAGTAGGATCATTATTATAAGGCCCCCAAAATAAGGTACCCCTATTTTCGGAAACTCCCACATGAGACTGAGGGCAAGAAAGCGAGAGAGCAGCAACGAGAAAAAGGCTTGGGGATGATGCTATTTCTACTGCTGATGATATAAATCCTGGGGTTCCTGTAAAGGGATCCATAAGACTACCTTTAAGGGGCTCCTTTGAAGGGATCTATAGGGCTTTTAGGGTTTAGGGTTTGGGTTGATGATATAAATCCTGCATTACCTTAAGGGCCCTAAACTATGGGAATTACGGTATATTCCTTATTATGGGTCATGCAGGATTTATATCATCAACCGTATTTCGACCACCCGCCAGCGCAAGACCTGAAAGTAGATCATGCACGGATAGTTGGTATCTCTTGTGATAGCAGTCGTCTTATTTTTCATGGGGAGCGACACCACAGCGTCAGATCCGTTGTAATAGCCCTTATAGACCCCTCTAATGGCCCCTCTATATTACGAAGTGCTTACATTAAGTCTTCTAGATGTCAGGAGGAGCGGCTTGAAGCTCAAGACACCTGCTACAGGGCCATAATAATTACCTGTACTACGGTTGATGATATAAATCCTGCATTACCCATAATAAGGAATATACCATAGTTCCCATAGTTTGGAGTCCCTAAGGTCATGCAGGATTTATATCATCAACAGTATTGTGGGGGTTCCTTCTTATCACCATAGTATAATATACCCCAAAACCCTACTGTGAATGTTAAGGCCCTTACATTAATTACCTGAGGCTTCTAGCCTGGTTTTGGGTTCAGGGTTTGGGGGCTCTAAGACCATGACAGGGTCTAGAACATTATGGACCCAAAAAGCACATAAGCTTAGGCATTTTATAGGGATATCCCTACCTTATTCGGGTTCATTATAAGGAGCTTTTATGGGATATCCCAATCCTAATCTTTGCTTATGTGCTTGTTAAGACGAGTACTTGCTGTCTTCTGTAAAGAACAACTGGTTCCTCTCACTGTACAAACGTTAGTGGATATGCTACAACGCCGGCGCGTATGGCGGACGATGAACGTCGGCTCGTAGCACACCTCCTACAGGCCAGTCATTAGGTTCCGTATGCATTTCAATGTCATACCTGAGGAAGGTGTAGAGCCACCCATTCAAATACATGTACGGGTTGGCCATGCGAGTGGCGTCAGGGATAAATCGATGTCTCTGTTCTGCCATCGAATCGATCGAGTCGATCCATGGCGCTTGTGTCTTTAAGACTTGCCACCGCTTTCGCAAGAGCTCTGTGGGGTTGGAGGCCTCCATAAACACATACGACACTTCCAAGTGCAAAAGGTCATGAGCCCAAGGTAGAGCCAAGCCGGGCATGACCATTGCCCCTTCAAAAGTATCTTTGAGATGCTGTTGGCGCACCACTTGGACTGACTCCAAAGCAGTAACGACTCCACCACCTCGCACTCCATCCTCAACTGTTCCCAGGCGACGTTCAACACGCGCCCTTCTGGCATGCTTGTTTGGGGCCCTAGATCCTACATTCTAACACACACCGAACTCAAAATAAATCCGGGTCAAGGGATCCTCAACCCTAAACCCAGTCACCCATCATGCGCAAGAACACAGCTTTGTCAACTCAGCGAAATGCACTGCTGCTCGCCGTGGGGACACGCAGCCCAAAACCCGAGCTCGAGTCCTCGCCTAAAGAGCGCAAACCTCTAGCCTCACATCGAATCCAGAAGCTTAAAATCCTAACACCTCAAGAACCCCTACAAAACCATGCGAAAGCAAAAAACAAAAAAGCTAACCCGATCAGCCTAAACCCCGAACCCCAAAAACTCCCCCGAAACCGCCTAAACCCAAAAGCTCCCCCAAACCCCAAAGCTCCCTAAAACTCCAGAAAACTCCAGAAAACTTCCTAAAACTCCATAATACCCCAAAACTCCCAGAACCCGAAAAACTCCCTAAACCCTAGAACTCCTGCGGTGGCGGACGCCAACTCCACCCTCCGGCTGTGCCGATCGAGATCCTGGCGTGCTTGGAGAGTTTTCAGGCTTGGGTTTAGGGTTTTAGGGTTTGGGGTTTAATGTTTAAGGCTCTTTGTAGGGTATTAGGGATCTACACATTTTAGGGCTTTAGGGTTTTGGGGTTTAGGGTTCGGAATTTGAGGGTTTAGGGTTCCTTTGAAGGTATCCCTAGGGGTTCTATAAGGGATCTACAGTGGTTCAGGGTTTAGGTTTTTAGGGTTTGGGGTTTAGGGTTTTATGTTTAAGGCTCTTTGTAGGGTAGTAGGCCCTGGGTTCCTAGATATCTATAGGGGTTCCTTGCTTTAGGGTTTTGGGTTTGGGGTTTAATGTTTAGGGTTATTACAATAAGTCTGAGCGTTTAGGGTTCCTGCAGGGTACTACACGGGCATCTGATGAGGATGTGGAAATCCTACAACACCTCATTCGGAGGCCTCACTGACTGAATACCCTACTGCTGTAAGTCAAAAAATTTAGAACCTAAACCAGGCCACAAACCCTACACCATACAGCCAAAACCCCCAGATCCCTTATCTCACAGATCTCCCTAAGCCCTAAACCCTAAACCCTTAACCCCTAAACCCTTACAGATCCCTGGATGCAAAATGTAAAGGATGCCCTGACAACGGACCTCCGAGATGACTTGAGTCGCTTGGAAAGGAGCTCATTAGGGGTTCCTTTGAGGATTCGGTTTAGGGTTTAGGGTTATTTAGGTTCCTGTAAAGGTCCGTATCAGGGCTCCTTTAGGGGATCTGTAAGGGTAAGGTTTAAAGTTAAGGTGGTTGGGGCTTAGTGTTCAGGCACTGAAGCTAATCAATATCTAAACTAGATACTCATTGAAATAACAAAGTACTTGATATACTTACCTCTTAGAGCTTAAGGCTTAGGGCTTAAGGTCAATTCAGTAGGGTTTGAGGTCTACACCTCTACACCTACTATCTAGGATACGCTCGGGAGACTCAGCAGCTAGGGCAATATGATGGCCGTACTCATTGCAATAGGGCTGTGGTATATGTTGTAATCTAATAACTTTGCAATCAGGAACCCAACTTTACTGCATCGTTCGACCCCTACATTGTAAGTAAGGACGCGAATTTCATGACAACAACCTGGCTCCCTATCACTCTACCCATGACCGGACAGGTTAGCAACCAGAACTGGTGTGTCCAATCCAATTGGGGAACTTGAACGGCTTAACTTCCGGTTCAACTGCAATTGCTTGTGGTTTTTGAACTCCTAAAGAACCCGAAACCATCCTAAACCTTAGCCCCTAAACCCTATACCATCCTAAACCCTCAACCCCGAACCTTAAACCCTAAGCCCTAAACCATCCTAAACTCTAAACCATCCTAAACCCTAAACCCTGAAGTGTCCTGAGTCGCTGGTACCAGAGAGGCTCTTATTCTCAGCTCTGGAAACTGCCACTTCGGTTTAGGGGGTTTAGGGTTTAGGATTTAGGCAGTCCTTGCAAAATCCCTTACGTAAGGAATATGCCTCGAATCATATGTGGGATCCTATCAGAATTTGAGGCATATTCCCTTGTTACGGCTTTCGCAAAGCTAGAGGTAATCGGGAACTTCCTCCAAAAGCCAGGAATTGGTCCAACCCCAGTTAAACTTCAGACATCCCCAAAAGAGTCTAATCATGCTGTGAGTCCGCTGCAGCATCCCTGACCCCCAAATCTCACCCCCCCCCCCCCCCCCCCGATATCCTAAACCCTAACGCCTAAACCCCGAATATCAAAAGAACACGGGCTTTTGATGCGCTTCGCTGAGAGGATCCTCGGTAGTTTTGAAGGTGTTTCCAGACTTTCGATTACCAGAGATTTTCTCCCCAGTACTGGTGCGCATGCTGTGCCACCCAAACCAGGTCACACTGGCTCTCACATGGCCCTTTGCAGAGCACGCGCTGCCGCCGGAGCCGCTGTTTCAGTTCCTTACTGGTGCGGAAAGAGGTGCGGCAGACCGGATCTCTAAAATGGCCCCTGCATACTCGCTTAATTAATTGCTGTAGGTGCTTATACCAGACTTTAACTCTTAAACTTTCTTAAGCCCTTATAGAAATAAATAAACTCCTTCCTCAGCTCTTTCTTACGTGAAGGATGGCCGGACATAGTAACTAGGGTTGCAATTGCCAAGTCCCATGATGCTTCAACTAGCCTTACTTATAGCGCCATTCCCAGCCCTCGGAGATTAGCAGACCGTAGACTCATATTCCCTCAAACCCTAAACACTCAACCCCAAACCTTAAACCCCAAACCATAAACCCTAAACCCAAAACTTAAGCCCTAAACCCTAAACCCAAACCCTAAACCCCTTCAAGCGCCAGGTTCCCAGCCCTGGGAGATTAGCAGACTTTATACATAATCATACGAGTGCCCCTAATAACAACAATAATAAGGAGAGCCTTAATCATAGTGCCAGGTTCCCAGCCCTGGTAGGTTCGCAGACCATAATCCCTATAGACCTTAAACCCTAAATGGGTGGTTGTCAAGCTTATGGTCCCTTTCTGGGTCCCTATTATACTATTATTTTGGGTACCCAAAAAGGGACCCTAATTTAGACAACCACCCAAATAATGCTTAAATGTAGCGCCAGGCTCCCAGCCCCGGGAGATCAGCTTGTCCACCGCTTCTTGCCTAGGTGGGGCTTTTAAAGCTTTTAAAAAAGTTAGTAAGTAAGATCCTCTTAAGCCCAATAGGGGAAAATATAAAATGTCCCAAAGCCCTACCTAGCCTATTGTAGTTATAGTATAATGGGTCCCAAAACCCTATTCTACTTACTAAGGCCAATAAGGGAAAATATCAAATGTCCCAAAGCCCTACCTAGCCTATTGTAGTTATAGTATAATGGGTCCCAAAACCCTATTCTACTTACTAAGGCCAATAAGGGAAAATATAAAATGTCCCAAAGCCCTACCTAGTTGCTCAGGGCCAGGATCCCCGTGAACTTCCACGACGATCCTTTGGGGCACTTCTGGAGGGTTTAGGGCTTAGGATTCCGGGCGTCATGTTTAGGATTCAGGGCTTAAGGTTTAGGATTCAGGGCTTAGGGTTTAGGATACAGGGTTTAACCCTCAACCCTAAACCCCACACTTCAAAACCCAAAACCCTAAACCCCCAAAACCCTAAACCCGAAACCCTAAACCCCCAAAAACCCTAAACCCTAGACTCCACACCCCTAAACCCTAAACCCTACATAAACCCTAAGTGGGCCCCAAGGGTCATGGACAGCATCTCGAGCAGCTCAGGATTCTCCTCGAGGAAGCTGCCAAAGCAGCCCTCACCTGGTCTGTGGGCCTTTAAAGGGATCAAAAGGGTTCAGGGTTTAGGGTTTAGGGGTTTAGGGGTTTTGGGGTTTAGGGATTTTAGGGGTTAGGGGTTTAGGGGTCTTGGGGTTTTAAGCTTAAGGGTTTAGGGTTTTGCGGAAACTGGGGTTAGTGTAAGGGTTTGGGCATTTGCACGGGGCATCTAGAAGGATTGAAACAGGAACTGAATCTCACTTACTACTCTAGGATGCAGTAATCCTCTGCTTTCCATGTTATGGCAACCCCAAACCCTAAACCCTAACTTAGACTAAATTCCGCAACCAGTCACAGTCAATGGCCAGAGTGTCAAACGTGGCATTCAGCGACCCCAAACTGTGCGCGGGAACCACCACGCCCGGTCGAGGGTCATCAAGGCTTATGGTGCCTAGTTCATGGTTGGGACAGGATTAAAAATCTAGATTTGCTTAATTATTCCTTATTGGGTTTTAAGTACCCATAAAAGATGTAGAATGTTACCCAAGTATGACAAAGGTGCGACTGCCGTAGTTGTGGAGCATGAACTTGAGGCTGCTCGTCCCAATCGGGCCGCGAACAACCTTAAGTTGAAACGGACGGCTGCTTTCAGGGTTAAGGACACAGGAGACAGTGAGTAACCTTAAACCCTAAGCTGATCTGATGTCCCAGGAACCGTTGCATGGCAGCCATGGTGGTTCAGGTTCCCTTCCAGTACATCCCAGACTTGAGGGTCAGCATCAGACGCGTGCAACCTCGCCGGTGGGGTTTAGAGCCCTTTTTTGAGGATCATGGGACTTAGTAGGTAAGGCTATAAGTACCCTAATTGGGGTTAGAAGTAGATATAAGTACAGTTACCTTAATTATAACCCTAATTACTAAGTCCCATGATCCTTCAAGTGGGGTTTAGGGCCCTAGGGCTTCAGGGTGTTGGTGTTTGGGGCTTTGGGGTTCGAGGGTTCAGGGCTTTAGGGATTCATTTGGAGCACCTGGCGCCGGTGGAGTCTGGCTCGAGGAGCTTTGAAAGCAAGCAGGTCGTTTGACCATACCTGAGTTGAAATTGAAGGGCGCCCAAACCCATTCAGGAATAAGTACCCCGGAGGGTCCTTAAACGATGAACCTCACACCCCAAAGCCCCTACTTATACGACTCACGACAGGAAAAGACTTCAAAAAACAGCTTCCCAAATTGCCCGAAACCCTAATTCAAACCTAAACCCTGAGCCCTGAAGCCTAAACCCTTATAAACTCCGTGAGCCCTTAAGCCCTTACCTACTTATAACTTATAACCCCAATTAAGGTACTTATAACCTTACTTACTAATTCCCATGATCCTCCAGGTATAGGGCCAAGGAGCCGCGCTCCAACTTCCAGCACCGAAGACCCGGGTCGTATCCAAGTCGTATACATCAGCCGGGAGCCGTGCCTTATGCTTAAAGGATCATGGGACTTAGTAACTGGGGTTAGATTTAGGGTAACTATACTTATAAACCCAATTAAGGTACTAATAACCTTACTTACTAAGTCCCATGATCCTCCAAGTGGGGCTTGGGGTTTAGGGTTTTGAGGTTTGGAATTCGGGGTTCAAGGACGGTCATGGTTCTTTTTGGCATTCTATAAGGGTTTGGGGGGGTCAGAGTTTTACAGCTTCGGACCTAAGCGGAAAATACTGAAGTAGCACTCAACATGGAGCCCCAAGGAAGCTGAAGAGCTGGGAAATGTAGGGGCCTTAACAATTAGAATAGGGTTTGGGTGGTGTAGTTTACTATACTTATAATACGGAACCCCCAAAACCTTGTTCTGATAACCCTAAATCCCTAAACCCTAAGTATTGGGGCCCTGACAGTTTTTTTGAGGAACCAAGGCGCTCAATTTGGCAGAGGAATTTGTTCCCTTCTTCCGTCTGAAAGCTGCAGTCATCTCGTACCAACTCCTGAGCGGAGTTTATGGATCTATGGCAATATTCTTGTTATTATTAGCATGGTTCTTAATTACTATTATTCTTTATTATTGTTACTAGTATGTCTGCTATTCTTGCTGTAACTGGGTTTAGGGTTTAGGGTTTTGGGCATCTATAGCGGCTCTACTAAAGAGATTTAGAGGGGTCAAGGAACAGGGCGCAGCGTTTAGGATTCGGAGCGGGGAAGGAATATTTGGGATATGGGTTCAGCCCGTTTAGGGTTCGAGGTTGCAGATACTCTCATCCCTACTTGGGGGAAGTTAAGTTAAACGAGCCCAGATTCTGCACAGTCCCGGGTCCATCGTGCAGCGACCTTACTCTGTATCAAGGACCTGCCCGTGGTGGGGCAGTCCTCGGCCCCCAGGGCGGCGCAAGAGCCGAAGAAGAGATAAAGTGTCGCCCAGCCGTGCGGCGAGAGGCGAGAGTGATGCATGGTATGAGGTATCAGAGATCTGTATACCCCCGGCGGTGTATACATAAAGTGAAGCAAGAAGCCTGAGCAGCGGCGGCGGCCCTGAACCGTCTTTGAAGGTGTCAGAAACGGGCGTAGAAAGCACTCAAAAGGGGCTATGACTCGAATGGGTTATAAGGTGTTTGTAACGATGTGGACTGCTCAACGCCCGGTGCGTACGCATGAATGCTTTGCGGTTTAGTTTAGTCTATCAGAAGTGGGCGCCGTGGTGCTCTATCACCGTTTTGGATCATATGCTGGCGCAAATCCTTGCATGACCGTATAGCACCTTCAGAAATGCCCTTTTAAACCCCAAACCTACAAAACCCCAGAAAAAGCCGCAACGCACTCCTAAACGCCAGGTCCTGAATCCTTGAACCCTCCACCTGCGAAGCTCCCCCTCCCGCATGTGCTCTGTGCCTGTCGCAACTCGGCGGCCAGGGGCGTCTCGCCCGCGAAACTCAAAGCTTCCAGCATAGCCTTCTTCCTCTCCATGGGTTCAAGGTTTCGGGTTCAGGGCTTAGGGATATAAACAGTTATATATAACGGCTTGGTAAGGGCTTAGAAGCTTTGCACAGGGTGTTCTGGAATAGGAGTATAAGAGTTTTTGGAAATCCTAGCAAAGGCTGACAAGAAGCGTTGAAAGGGTGTGTAAAGGTTTGCTTAAGGAGTCATAAGACAACACCTGTCTAGACGATGTAGGAGCCGGACAGGGCGTGCCAAAAACTGCCCTCATCAGTACCCTGAAATTTCGCATGAAACATGAAGCCCTGATCCCGTATGAGCACGCTTCTAAAGTGTCGGGTTTGAAGCTTTGGGGCTTTCGGGTTTATGTAAGTCTAACGGTTGATGATATACATCCTGCATTACCCATAATCAGGTATATACCATAATTCCCGTAGTTTAGGGTCCTTAAGGTAATGCAGGATTTATATCATCAACCGAAGGTCTACACCTTTGCCCAGCTGATGATCAGCAACCCAACACGAGTTGTGCGGCAGGTGTTCCAACAAGGGACAACGGTTTGAAGTTCGACTGCTTCGACTCGGCAATGATGCGGGCTAAACCCTCTCAACCCTAAGCCCGAAAACCCCCGAGCTTAACTACATTTCTAACGATGCCATAGGGATGGCCCTGTGCCTTCTACTGTATGGCTGTGACGGCTCTTTTCGAAAACTTCAAGCCCCACACCCTAAAGCCTCAACCAAAACTAGAACCCCGAAGCCCGAAAGCCCACCACCGTAACGCTTTATGGCACCCCCAAAACCAAGAAACAAAAAATCCTAAAACCTTTAAAAGCTCTCAGAACCCGTAAAAATACTGTAAATATTTGAGAACCCTTAGAAACCCTTCGAAACCCTTAAACAACATCTGTAAAGACCCTTAGCAACCCTAAATGCCTACGCTGTGCATCTGATGGCCTGGCGCATTCGTCGCAGCCACAGCCGGCCATGCTTGAACATGCCCACTAAGTTTATAGTATCAGGGTTTAAGGTTCAGGGTTTAGGGGTGTAAGAGTTTAAATAGGGGTTCATGGGTGTGTGGTTTAGAGGTTTGAGGGTTTTGGGTTTCGGGCAGTTTCCGTTCTACAGGGCTGTTTTCGATGTTTTACAGTAAACCCAATAAAGTTGGAAACCGGGTTAAGGCCAAATAGTGCTGTGATTCCCCTGAGGCTATCGAGTTTCCAACTTTTCGGCTTCTACTGTATAGGGTCTTGACACTCCTCGGGCATGACAGCCTGCGAAGCTTACTGCTCCATAACGCCGTGGACCGCCCCACGGGCTTTGAGCCAGACCTCGCATCTAGGGTCTTGTAGGGCTTCATCTATGTACGAGTTTTGAAAGATTCCGAACACGAGGCTTTCTTGGAACTGGGCGTTTGTTGGGAGAGCCCCTCTATACAAGATCCTGCGACTCAGGGTTTATTTCGAGGTCTAGGGGCCTCAATAAGGCTTTGGAGCCCATGGTACCATAATTGTAATAAGGAGCCCCCAAAATAGTATGGGTAATGATGAAGGCCCCTGTATTACTCCATTTCTGAACCTCCTAAATCCATAGGTACAAAGAAAGGCCCCCATAAGGGCTCGAATGGCCGCAGCAGCGTGGAACTATCGTTAGCCCCAGTGCCCATGGAGGGCACGCCTTCACCCGGCGCCACACTTGCGAGGCGGCATGCAGATCTTTGTCAAGACCCTGAAGCTCACCTTGGACGTTGAGGCCAGTGACAAGTTCGACAACGTCAAGGCTAAATCCCATGATAAGCAGGCATCCCGCCCGACCAGCAGCACCTGATCTTTGCTGGCAAGCAGTTTGAGGGCGGCCGTACTCATTCAGATGACAACCTCCAGAAGGAATCGACCCCTGGCGATGGTAAGTACGATCGTGACATGCGGCATTATGAGTTCAAGATTGAAATCACTAACGGCCCCGCAGCCCGGTAGACCAGGTCCTGGAGGTCTGCGGCATGTCGACGGGTTTGTTGGGCGCTTCGCTTTCGTTAGACTCGGACCTCACACGTGTTGGTGTGTTTTTTCGCGGTCACTGTATGCAGCGGCACGTCTGAGAGGGCACAGTGGTGTTTAATTTTCCATTGTGAGGGACCTACCCTGTAGTTGGCCTCCCCTGTTCCCTGGAAGAAAAAGCTCAGGGTTCAAGTGTGAATGCGTTGTACATGGCACGCATGTTTCGAGTGGGACGTGGTTTTGAAGAAACCACCATGTGGGGCTTTGAAAGGCTTTGTCTTGTAGTTTGCCTCCCCCGGCCCCCGGAGGAATGCTCAAGATAGTACTGTTTTGTTCGGTTGCCGGTTGCGAAAGGTTCTACGGTGACAAGTAGAACCTCAATCGAGCCCGGTTGCGTGCATTAGGTAGCATTTTTGCTTTCAGTCCGAGTGCCAGGCAATTGTAAATTGTGTATGGCATGTCCCCATCAATGCCGGCAGCGGCTGTCCCTTGATGGCTCTAGTTTTGACTTTTTGAAGAGATGTGCATGGCCGAGACAGCTTTTGTACACACTGGTTCCATCTTGGCATGCTTCCTCTTCTGCAGATTTCTGCTCCGCTCGGGTTTATTCCGGGCGAGTGCACACTGCTTCAACCCTGAATTCATTGCTAGGCGTGCGTCCTCTGGACCCTGAACGCTACGAAGAAAAGAAAAAGAAAAGGCCCCTATATTACTCCATTTCTGAACCTCCCAAATCCACAGGTAATGATGAAGGCCCCTGTATTACTCCAGATCTGAACCTCCTAGAACCTAAACCAGCCTTGGGGCTGGTGAGCCTGGAGGATTCTTTGGGATTCTGTGCCACTGATGGTCGTGGAACCTTCTTGCTCGGGGGGTTCCTTTAAAGGGACCTGTACGAACTCCATACAGGATCTATGAGAGTTTAGGGGTTTGGGGCTTGGGGGTTCCGGTTTAGCTCTTAGGGCTAGGGCTTCTGGGGGAACGGCTCAGGCTTCCTGTGTTGCTCTACGCCTAAATTCCCCCAGTCTTTGAAGGTCGTCGATTTCAGGACCCTAAAACCTAAACCCCGAAGCCCTCAAGCCCCTAAACCTCGCAATGTAAAGGTGACAGGTGAATAACCTAGGGGCCTTAACAATTAGAATAGGGTTTTGGGGCCCATTCTACTAGAATTATGTATGATAAGGAACCCCCCAAAATAGTATAGGTATGTATTCAAGCTCCTATATTCAACCCCTAAAACACCTTAATAGTAATCCTTATAGACCCCCTTTAAACGGAACCCTTTAGAGAACTCCCTATATTACAGGTCTTCATTCTGCTTGAAGAGTCGCCAAGCTACCTCTAGCTCAAATTAGCTCAAGATGGGAGTTTCAGAAAAAAAAAATAAATAAATATATATATATATATATATAACATACCTTTTTTGGGGGGCCTATTCCTCTAGTCAAAAGACCGAGCTACGAAGGGGCGGGGGGGGAGAGCAGTTTCTGGTTTAAGGATCAGGGCCGCTTGGGGGCTGTGGGCTGTGGGGAGGCTTTGGGATTTCACGGTTTAGGGTTCAGGGTTTCAGGCTTAGGGTTTAAGTTTGGGGTTTAGTTTCAAGCTTAGTTCAGGGCTTCGTGTTCATAAAATGGCTGGCAATATGGGAGGCTGAATGATTATTGATGCGCGTTGCTGCCACGCACACTGACCTTCGGATCAACAAGGCACTTGTCATCTTATGCTCAAACTCATATTAGTGGGGCATACGATTCATCTTGCAGTTCGATTGGGCGCGGTCGACGTCATCGTAGCAGTAGCAGTAGTCGTTATCGGCGTCGTCGTAGGAGTAGTAGTAGCAGGAGTGGTGGTAGTGGTTGTTGTCGTCCTAGTCATGGCCGTCACACTTTCTCTTGAAGCTGAAGGGAGCCGAGGAGCCTTTTTTTGCAGGGCCATAGAAATTGGAATGCAAAAGGGATTGGGGGACCAGTACAATGTACTTGCACTGAAGAGCCCGAAGGAATGATACTGGTAAACGGAACCTTAAGGAACAATATCGCTGATGGTTTAAAAGTTTAGACTTCTATATGACTTCGAGTACTTGTCGCAACACCGAGGGCAGAGCCATAACTGCCTTGGCATTGCCACCCAGTGCATCCTGGAAGGGAGTTCAAGCATTAAGTTTTCAGAGGTATATGGGGGGTTTCCGAAAACGGGGGACCTTAATAATAGCACCCTAAATCGTAGGATCCTTATTAGAAGGACCCCCGAAAAAGGTACATCTAATTTTCGGAAACTCCCATATGGGTTGAAGATTTAGGGTTTATGGTTGAGCTTTTACGGGACAGTAAACTCGAGATTCCAAAACCCCACACCTGATTGCCTAGACCTGTGAAGGCCTACTAGTGCTACGGTTGATGATATAAATCCTGCATTACCCAAAATTCAGGAATAGACCATAATTCCCATAGTTTAGGGCCCTTAGAGTAATGCAGGATTTATATAATCAACCGTAGTACTAGTTGAAAACACCAAGCACTAG